TACGTGGGGGCCAATAACTGAGTGGGGGCCGCTGCGAAGATTTAGGAGGATTTGATGCCCCTGGGCATCGGAGCTGGGGGGGGGTCTGACGGCAACGCCATCGACTGCCTTTGAACTTGGGGCGGAGGAGCCGGCGTTTTCATTGGCTCTCGCACTAATGGGGCCAGCGGGCAGATCTAATTAGCCAGAGCCGCGTTAGAAGGGACCTCCAGGGATAACGAAGCCGCCAGCAACCACATCACACGCTCCGGCATAACCCCGCCGCGGCAGCGGCTGGTGGCTCCGCGCCAGCCGGGCCGGGATGAGCCCGGAGCTGATCCCAAAGCACCAAAAGCATCCCACGGGCCAGACGCTGCATCCCGCATCCCCGCTGCATCCCCGCTGCATCCATCCCTGGCCGGGTGGGAGCTTCCTTGGCAAGGAAACGCCTTGGCTGGGGGATCCGGGATGTGTCTGGATCCTGCTGTTATTACCAGAGTTTATTCTCCAAACAACATCCAGGAAGCAGGAATCTCCCCTCCCCGAGCCACCTTCCACGGCTCCTTCTCTTCCCAGCTGAGATCCCTGTCCCGCTCCCGGACCCTATGGCCTCATCCCGGGGGGATGAGCGGGATGCCGGGACCTCAGCACACCCCCAGTCGGCCCTGACGTGGTTTGATGCCACAGAGGGGCAGGATGGGACCGTGGGGGTGCTGAGGTGGGTTCTGCCGCGCCAGGACCACCGCAGCTCCAGCCTCGCCTCCGCTGACCACCAGGAAAACACCCTCCGACGCAGCTCAAAACAACCGGCCACCGGCCGAGCATCCCGCTGGCCCACAGAGCTGTGGCCACCCCGGTTGGGTGCTGGGCGGGAGGAGCTGGCGTGGGGTGATGGAGTCGGGCAGTGGTGGTGCTGGCTGTTGCTGCTGCTTCTTGTACTACGCGTACGGCAGCAACCTGCTGCGGGAGCGGCTGCTGCTGAGCAGCCCCTCGGCGGTGCTCTGCGCCGTGGCGCGCCTGCAGGTGTGTTGGGGGGGTGCGGCGGGTGGGTCTGTGTAAGTCCGCTTAAGTCCGCTTGCCCCGGTGGAGCCGTGCCTGGGTCTGGCTCTGCTCTCTGGGATCCGGTGCTGCTGCCGCTCGGTCTCTTCTACCAGTGCCGGGCGCAGGACCGTTGAGGCGGGGGGGTCCCATCGCCCCTCACGTCATAGCGTGGCGCTTCAGGCTGCCCTCAGCCGAAATGCTGGCGTCAGTCCCGCCTCTGGGGGTTTACCTTGCTGGGCTTAGCCACGTCTGTAAGGCTGCCAGCCAAGGCCTCACGCATGTACCGTAACAAGGGCTATGAACCTGGGCAAGCAAGAAGCAGGTGCTCAGCTCGGTTTGTGAGACAAGCCTCGGGCAGTTTTAAAGGGATAAAAAATTCCCCTTTCCCCTCTGCCACACTGGGTACTAGTGAGAAGCCCTCCCTGTGCTGTGTGTCAGTCTTTCACCCTGTTACTGCACAACCGCAGCTGATGCCTTCCTACGCCTTGGTGGTTCTCCCCTGCCTGGGGTCGTTAAATGTCAGTATGTCAACTTGGCTTTAATGTAGGCCTGGAAGTATGAGCTTGTAGTCATTAAGCTGTTGCACAGATCTGTACAACTGGAAGGATCCTTTGTAGAGCAGAGCATTGATTGATACCACTTAAGGATGAATTGAAGGTTCGCTTGGGGTAACTGGCAGGAAATTATCTACATTGGAGCGTATGGAAAAAGTTCCAAAAAGGTGTCATGGATAAACTCCCTATAATCAGATACTTGGTGTCTCTTGGGGCTATCAACCTGGCAACTGAGGCCTTTTCCTGTAAAGTGTGAGGTGCTTATAGGTACTGCTGAGGAGCTGAATGTGCTGAGAGCCTTACACCTTGCAGGATCAGACCTTGGAGGTGAGGAGGAAAGCAGCAGTATTGTGCACTTCTCTTTGAATAAAAGAAAGCCTTATGCTTCAGCTCTCCTAGGTTTTGGGTAGATTTTTGGGTTACACAGTAAGCATCTCTGCCACGCTGCAGGTTGGCTGTTCAAGAGCTGGCAGTGAGGTGCCAGCTTCTCAGGACAACCTCTGACTGACTGACTGCTGTGCTCCCTCCTAGCACCAGCTGGCTTCACTCCCTTTAAGCTGGAAAATCACCAATGCTTGGGAGTGAGAAAGCGTGCAAAGGTTGGAGCTGATTTCTGTTAATTACTCTATGGTAGTACCCCGTTGGCTTAAAAAAAAGGAAAATAGCCTGTAAACGGAGTACTTTGGATGCTAAACTAGAATATTAAATTTACTGCCCTCTGTTTTTATTTTTTTGCAGCTTTGTTAATCTTCAGCCAAAAGCTGTAAGAAATGGCATGTGTAACAGGCACAGAAAGGGTATTACACTGGTACTTAGAAGAGGGGCCAAAGACCGAGCTCTTGACCGGAGAAAATATCTAATGTGTTTGTTCCCCCTTCCCTGCAGTGTCTATTGCAGTTGCCTGCATAGTTTAACAGAGGGTTTCCTGCTTGCCAGGCTGATGATTATCACTTAAAAAACCCAAAAAACAACCAGTGTTCCGATTGGTGCTCTTCTTTGTTTAAGCTTCCAACTGCTCAACTTTTGCAGCCTTTTCCCCATATCTGTTAGGACATGTTACAAGAAGGTAATGTGTCTCAGAAAGTGAATATTAATATGTATACACATGTTTTAAATCAGTGATAGCTTAAAGAGGGTGATCATAAGAAATAAGCAAAGCTGTGGGGTTGTATAGCTTTGAGGTTTTTTTTTTTTTCTGCTTTTTTAATCTTTTTTGCCTTTGACAGATTTTGTTGTTATAGTTAAGCAGGTAGCCTTCCTTAAAGTTGTTTGTTTTTTCTTTCCCTTCTCTACTGCTAGGGAAGCATCCACAGATTGGCTAACAAGTAGGAGAGGAAATGGAGTGTATGGAGTCAGATGGGAAATTACACTGGAAAAATGCTAGAACCTGCTGTTCTTTTTTTGACTCTGTAGTAATATTTGATTATTACTTGTAAGAAAAAGAGTTAGTTGATTTCTAAAATAATGTTTCAACTTGCAAAAACCTGAATAAGCTCACTCAAGGAGGCATGTGCGTTGTGTTAAAAATACCCAAGAATGTTCCAGTTGAGTGCTGGGAAGGCACAAAACACTGGCAAATACATAGAATGGTATTTTATAATTGGGCAGTTCTGTTAGTGCATGAGGACAAGACCCAAGGCTCACCATCTTGTAGGCTTCTTTACCCTTATTTTCCTGGAATGTGCATGGTAGCCTTTAAGTTTTAAAACAGCACCAAAAGCTGCAAAGGAATGGGCACCAGGTAGGCATGTCTTTGGAGGAACAAGAAGGCAGCAGTAGCCAGTTCCCTCTTTCATGGCACATCTCAGCCGAGGGCTCTTCAGGCTGTCTAATGGGAAGCAATCCTGTCACTGTCAACTTGGACAAAAGTCAAGCTGACATTTCTTCAGCACCTCTGTGTTCCCTGCAGAATTCAGTATGTGCCTTGAAAAAGGGCTACCTCCACTTTCTTCTCACTGCTAGAAACTGATAGGTAATGTCTAGGCTAGACTACTAGGTTGGATATTGGTCCAGGTCTCCACAGACCAAGACTTTTATCAATACTGTTCTCTGCCAGAGTTTTCTTCCCTTTGTCCCGAGACTGCTGTTTCTCAAGGGGGATGGAAAAGGCTGACTTCACCCTCCTGTCAGATGGCAGCTGGATCAGATCCCTCCTATCCATTCCTCCTCCTGTGACTCCAGCTGACTACTTGTAGACCCTCCTTTAGCTGCCCCTTTCATGTCAAGAATAGCCAACAGCCCTTATCTTAAGTGGAAATTGATTCTCTGCATTGGTTTCATTTGCAGGATTTTAAGCTCAAGTTCGGCCATCACCAAGGCAGGACAAGTTCTGTCTGGCATGGAGGTGCAGCTACCATTGTTCAGAGCCCTGGAGACGAAGTATGGGGAATAGTGTGGAAAATGAACACTAGCAATTTAAGTTCACTGGATAAGTAGGTGACTTAACTTTTGTTGTCTTCTACTATTTTAGAGAGCAATTGAAAAGTAGTAGTTCATTTTTGGTAAAGAACTCTGTGGAAACTTTGGTGTTGGAATTGAGAAGCTGCTTTGGATTTTAATATGTGAATTTCACCTCACAGTACTTGTATTACTTCTAACACATTTGTAATTAAAATGGCTTTATTTTCAAGCTAAAGCTACTTAAGGGTATTTTTAATAAGGTGTGGACCTTGATTTGGAATTGATATATTGGTCAGGCTCCTTTTATTTTTTTTATTTTTTTTTTTTTAAATCCCTGTCCTCATAATGTCCTGTCTCTTAAACTGTTCTGAACTCTGTCCTGTAACCCTTTTCCCATTGCATTAGGGAGAGTTTTCTTTGCAACTAACATCAATTTCTGTCTCTGCATCTGAAGACTCCAATTGTAGTGGAAAAAGAAGGGATGAGGACAAGACTTTGCAGAAGAGAAAGAGATCTTTAATATAGGCAAAGGAACCTTTTGAGGAGGTTATTTTGCATGTCTAAGGATTCAAACTTTTCTGAATTTGAGGTAGATCAAAGCAGGGAGCTGAGGTGGTTTTGTTTTTCCCTTTGAATGGTGGAGGCTGCCTGCACCATTACAGGGCATAGTGGAGAGTCTTCTGCCTGTGCCTGATAATTAAGACAAGTTTAAGGTAACCTGAGCAAGTAGTTCCCTGGCTGAAGTCTGGAGGACCACCTGGGTAAACAAATCAAGGAGTAGTGTAACTTCTTATGGGGTCTAAGGCAGGACTTAGAACTTAGTCTCCAAAACTTTGGCTGGCGTCATGTGTTTATCACAGCTTTCAGGATGCACTTGCACAGTATGATGCTTCTGGTTACCCAAGGATCATTTCTTTGGAGCAGTTCATTGCTGTTGGTTAATTCCAGCAGAAATCCAGGCTAGTGAGGCTAAGGAAGCAAGGCATATTAAACCCATTGAAAGCATTACATTAATACAGTTCTTCTACTTCTGGTACTGTTGCAATTTTGGTTATGGCTGCACTGTGCTATGTAGACATGTCCTTATAACCTTGGCCATGAAACTTGAAGTTCCAACTTGCTTTTTATTGCCTACAGTGAACCTGAAACACAACAGAAACTGTTGCCCAAGTTCTGTTAGCACATTATAGGAATGGGCGCTCTCAGCATTCTCATAGTCCTGGTTGGGATGCCTAGTTCCAAACAAGAGGGCATCCAGCTGGTAGGCTTCTGCTGGGGAGAGTTTCACATGTTCCTGCTTTATTACCTTCTCGGTTCCCTCTCTGTTGCTTACACTAGCACTTACCTTCCTGGTCCCCTTTCTGCTGACCCTTACTGAAATCTCCTGATTTACTATGCTTTCCTAAAGCGTAAACTTCAGAAGTATGAAGATGCTGTCTGGCAGCATCTGCTTTGATAATAACACTGTGTTCACTCTATGGGGACAGCATTTTGTATTTTAACTTCTATAAATGTTGTTTACATACTATAGATTGCAGATCCTTGACATTTGTTTCACAGGTGATAAACTTTAATGCTCCCTAAGATGCTAGAGACTTGAATGTTATACCATCACCAAAAACGGCAGGATGGACACTAGCATTAAAGATTGCTTTTTCTCAGCTGCCCCACTGATGCCATGAAGGTGAATGAGAAATGGAAGGAAACAGGATGTGTTCTTGGCTTTCATAATTATAAAGTTCTTTTAAGAAACAACCAACCTAACCAGCTCAAAAGAGCTTGCATGTGTTCGTGCACATCCTGAAGATCTTGGGATTTTTTGGCTGTGCACAAGCAGATAGAAGTTCTCAACCAACCTATTTCCTGGAATTTCTATCTACCAAAAAAAAAAAAGTAATTTCACCATTTCCTTCCCTCCCTTTGCTTCCCCCCCCACCCCCCGCCCTGGGGCCCGTCTAGATAGAGAAGCCTGTGCTTTGTTATCCAGAAGCAGAGGAGAGAATGTGTCATTGACAGTGCATGTTATTAGGTGAAATCCTAGTAAAACAATGTAATATATATAGAAAACAAAAATATGGGAGGGGAATCTCATGCTTAGATGTGTGAACCTTCTGGCTTCAAACGCATTTTGGTGCTGTCCCATGGTCAGATTTTTTTTTTGTCCTCTGTACTCAACAAATCTATAAGTTAGACTAAATCTTGACTTTTCCATATATATCCTAGCTGTGGATGTTACTTAACTGTAACATTCTTCTTGCTGTCATGTGCCCATGTGATTTATTTTGCAGTCTGTTAGGCCTTGAATCTGCAGTTAACTTCTAGTCTCTGCTTGTACTTAACACAGGCCTTGTTATATGATTAACTATGTTAAGTAACTTGAAATTATAGTAAGTCTTTAAAAAAAAGGTAAGTTGTCAGGAGAGTGTTTTGACAAGCAGCATTAAAAACCATGTTATCTCTCATATCTAAAAAACATCTGAAGTTAATTGTGCTAGAAAGTCTATCTTGTATTGCTTAAGTTTCTTGTTTACTTCTTACTAATTCCTCAGACTTCTATTGTTGGTTAAATGCTCATGATTAAAGATAACAAGTAGCTTTGCTTCTGAGTTTTGTTTTGTTTTCTGAAGATAGCATGATTTTGCTAATAAAAAAATAACAAAATGGGTTTTGCCCTGATCTAGCTCATTGTTGCTGTATACATCTTGTGCAAATTAAAGGGTGTCTTGGATTATTCATGGGAATGTGTATTGCAAGAGTCGGGCGAGTTTCCCCTTATTCAAATGTAACACAATGGGCAAGATAAAACTTTGTAATTATTTTGTTATCTGAGCAAAAGGTAATGAATGATATGTGCCTAGCTCATTAATTCTGTTAATCTTGGTTGTGTTTCTCTTGTAGATAACTCTTACAGCTGAAATGATAAAAGTGAATGCCGCTGCTTCTTTAGAAACTTGTTCTTGGAGTTGCACAAAAAGTACTAGAATATCTTTTGCTTTATTTGTTTTTGTTAACAGCACAGACCAGTGTCCTGACTTGAATTCTCTTACAGTAAATGCATATGTTTAATTGCACAGTTTGTTTGAAAGATGCATCAGGTTTTTGGCATAAAAAGAATATATGCCCTTTACAGGCAAGAAGGAGTTGAAGATGGCATTTATGTCCCAATAGAAGTTAATGTCCACACTCAGGCAGGAGAGGTACTGACCTGTCGAAGCTACCAGATGAAAGACTGTGTCTGTGGTTCCCCTTCTCCTCAGTATAAAAAGGTAGGTGTTGCATCACTGTAACTTCAGAGAGAATGAACAGAAATATATAGTGTAGTACTTCTATTTAATAAGTACTTTATTTACAGCAAGTGGAAGGCATGGGTAACTCTAATGTAAAGGTATAACTCAATCTGTGTGCAATGTAATAGAGATGCTTGCAGAAGATTGCTGGCTCTTAAAGGCCTAGTAAATCAGTTTTATTTTTTGGCTTAGTTATGCCTTATATGAAGCCTCTAACTTGTGAATTAGTTCTGACTGTCACCAGGGTTTCTGAAGGATGTTGTTTACGTATATGCAGCAATCCTCCAAAAAATTAATGTACTCCACTAGAAGGACAAAGGGAAGCTTCTGTGGGGAGAATACAGCACTTTGCTTGTAGTCTCAAGGACATGGATTATCCCTGTTGTCTTATGAAGTATCTTACTATCATTTAATACAGGAGTCCACCTGCCTCCTTTTACCAGATGCATCATCAGTATATCACAGGACTTCCAGCAACATTGCACAGCACTGCAGGGTTCCCACTTGATGGCTGGTGAGGCAGAAGTGTTTCAACACTGTTCTGCAACGCATTGACTCTATAGAGACACATGATCCAGTTATGCAGCAGGCCTGACCTGCTTAGCTTGTGAGATCTGATGTGGGCCTAGCCTTGGGTGGCATGACTGCATGTCTGGAATTGTGCAGCTATTGGCAGTTGCAGATAGGCATCACTGTAGCGTGTTGCCTTTTTCTACCGAAAGCAAAGAAACAGGTCTCGAGCTTGTTAAATTCCAAGGTGTGCCGCCTTCTTTTAACTGAGGAACTTGCTCCTATGAATCAGCTTCCAGGAGCATAGCTAAGGGCAGCTGCTGCAGGATTTCTGAAGAGAAAGCTCGCTTAGAAGGCAGGCTCTGCTGCTTGACAAATCTCCTCCCTGCCAACCCGCTTCCTGTTAAGACAGATCTTTAGGGCTTTTCAGGGAGTTAATACACAGTCTGCTGCTGTGTGCAAGCTCTCACTAGTATGCTGTAAGAGCAAACCTCCAATACTGGCAACTTTAGCTAAACATTCCTTCCTGCTGTTGTCAGGGTCAGTTGTTAGTTCTCTTCTTTCCCCCCTGCCCCCAGCTTTTATTTCAGTTAACCAGGCAGGAGGGCTAAAAATTTAGTATAAGTGACCACATTGTCACACAGTGATCTACATCCACCTGCTGTTGTGCACTTTTTGTGGCAAAGTTCATTCCTTCTAGATACCTCATCCTGGCTGTTGAATGCATGAAAGAATATTTACAATAGTGTCATCTTTTAAAATCTGCATATCTATCCATTTGTGTATGGGAGCTTGCTGTGGCCCTTTAAAGCCTTGGCTCCTACAGCCTCCTCTCTTCCTCTCACTGTCACTTCTTTTTCTCTTGTACCAATACTTATTTTGTATGTAGGAAAGCTGCAGTAACAAACTCTAAGGAATCCATGCTTTTTAACTAAGCATCTCTTACTCCTATAACCTGTCCACGTTGTGGTTTTGATTTGAACAGCTTCGTTTTGAAAAATAATTTCGATTATATACACTGCTTCTTACTCAGTTGTGATAGTAAAGCTGGCTAAAGTCATAAAAAGTAGTTCTCATCCTCACTGGAATAAAGAAGAGAATAACTGAATAACAGCTTAATTGTACGGTCTCATGGAAGTTGGCTACATTTCAGAATCTTAGAGGTATGCCTTAGTAGTTACAAGTCTTTTCAGAGTAATTTTGTTGGCGATGTTAAGGTCTTCAGTGGTCTTCCTGAAGCCTTTGGCTATCTTTAGGTACAAATAGCATTATTTGGGATTAATTCTGTTACCTTAAGTGGTTCTTCCTGTACAAGTAAATGTTGGGAGGGGTCTGTCCTTCCTATTAATGAAGGCTTTTTTTTCTTTCTCCCTTTTGATTCTAGGTTATCTGCATGGGTGCAGAACAGAATGGCTTGCCAGCTGACTATCAAAAGAAATTAGAAGCTATTGAAACTAATAACTATGCAGGGCCGGTGCCAATCATGGAAGAGATTGAAGCTGCTGTTAAAGCAAAGAAAATAAATTCTGCATAGAACACCTCTGCACTTGCTTGGCCGTTCACCTTGATTTAGATACCTCTCCTTCACCTTGATTTAGGTACTTCTCCTTACTGTGCTGATCAGCAGTTTCTTTATTTATCAAGAAAATTTGAGTTTGCTGTGTACCTACAGTAAGCCATTAGACATAATGTGCATTCTGAAGACACACTGACATTGGTAACTTCTTCGCTTTGGATGTATAGCTTGAGTACATGCTGAAGTTTTTGCAGATTTAGAAATTAATTATCTTTCTGTAATTGTCATGCAGTGCTGCATGCAAACTTGTGCTTCACGTCCTGTTTACTGACCTTTTTAAAATAAAAAGGCCATCTTGATGAGTACTGGCATCTGTTGCCTTCTGAGGAATAAGGGCTGCAGGATCAGGCCCCTTTTTCTTAAAGGCTGTATACACAGTTATCAAGAATTTCAGAGATTTGTTAGATGCAAAGTAGAGTCAAAACTCTAAACTAAGACTCAACTTTTTCCTCTGCTGCTTCTCTTAATGGTTTAAAGCCCAACCTATCTGAAGCTATAGAGTTCCTGTTTGTTTATATAGTTAACAAAGAAATGTAATATTTTTTTAACTATCTCCATGTTTTTAAGTGTTTGTCCAAAAGACAACCTAGGCCTGAAGACAACATTCAGCAAAGGATCTCGTTCAAAGCATAATGGCCTCTTCCTTTCTATGTCTAGTAACCAACTTCAGGTATAACCAACAGATTTTAAAGTATTCATTTTAGTTAGACAGTTCCAAGGGGTTTTTTAATGACCTTTTTGACTGGCTTGTTGCTTATCTTGGCCATGTCCAGCGAAATCAGGAAGGCTGTGAGTCCTAGTGCATTTGTTCCATGGTTTTGTTTGTCAAACCCCAGAACAACAGACTTGCACACCCCCCCTTTCCTGCTTTGACAATCTTCTGCAAAACTGGAAGCTCTTGGGAGGCTTGGAATACTTATCTTCATGGTATTTGGCAACCCCTGTAGTTAGTCTGGAGGGGACAAGATAAAATGGACAACCTGGAAGGTGTCAAACAACTGAACTTTGAGTCATTTTCTGTACAGTTTTTTTTTCTTGATGTACAGAGGGATGCAAGATATAATTGGTGTCACTGTGTGACTGCATAGATAAACAAATGATAAAGTAACAGACTTACCATGTCTTCTGTGCATAAATTTGTTCTGCAGACTTCTGCCAGGGATGTATAGGTGCTGTCCGGATGTCACATGCCCATTTCCAGAGTAGGGCACAGTGACTACAGTAAAATGTGGTACTTTCTGTATTAAAACTGTCTACTCTGAAACTAAGTAAATAAAATTGTGATTACCGAATGTCTCCCATCTGTTCAATCCATGTTTCAAGAATGTTTTGCTTATGTAAGCGCAAGGTGGAAAGGTAACTGGCACTTCCATTAGCTTGTTACGGTTTTTTTGATGGGTATGATTTCAGTATGGAGGGCAAAGCTATGCATGAACATGCTCCTCCACATCAGCACTACTGCTCTGCTTTACCCTTACCATGTTCCTTTGGGCTTTTGAACTTTTAAATGGTTATTTTACTCTTGCAAGAAGAAACCAGTCCTTGGG